GTATGCTAATTTATGTAAAACTATCTTCATATTTATATTAATATTTATATAAGAAACATACAATCCATATTTTATATACACACATATATATGTACACACACATACATACGCAGTAAATCCCTATGAAAAACATATCCTATTTGAATGTATATTTGGCTCCAAATGGCTCCAGCCCTTTTCTCAAACAGTGTCTGAAAATTCTTGCTGGGGAGGGAAGGTAGAATAGACATTCTACCCTAACCTTCTTACTTCCACAGGAGAATGAATTTTCTTACCCATACATAAGAGTTTCCCTCTGGTCTCTCCATTTGTTACAATATTCTCTCCGTATATTCCTGCCACTAACACCATCACCATAGCCTAATAACAATACTGTTTAACATCAATATGGTTAGTCCCCCATTCATTTTTGTCCTTTTTTTTTTTCAAAATTACTATCTCATTCTGTTTATGTTTATAATGTTAAAACTAACTTTAGAATCCTTTTGACAAGTTTTACCCAAACTGTAAATCAATTCAAAAGCTTCTGAATTCTTTACATTTTAGTTGTCTTACCCCCAAACCTGGTAATTCCATTTATTACTTATTATGCTTTATTTTAAAGCACTTAAATATATAATTATCTTATACTTGACACACCTCTGTTCACAATTATTTCCAAATACCATGTATTTTAAAAACGTATTACTAAATTTTAATGGAATTAGGTAATACTTTTTGAACCAGTTTTGAAATTTTATTAAAAATATTAAATAGTTTTATAAAATATATTTGTAAAAAGACAATACTTATCACTTTCCTTGTATTTTTAATTATAAAAGTCTTATAAGATTGATAAAAAAAAAAGCAAATTTTATAATCTATGTAAATTAAAATTAAAAGTCAATTCTTCTGCTTCCCAATTTCACTCCCTGGTAATAGAATTATAGAGACAAAGTTTGTAATAGAATAGGCAGGAAGGCAAGTGATGAGTTATATATAAAAATAGGTAATTATTTATCATTTCTATAGATCATTTATAAATTAAACATGTATTTCATGAACACTCATTCTCCTATACAATATACATATATACATGTAGAATTTTCTATACATGTAAGCATTTCATATGCCTACAGAAATTTTTAGCCCAAATAAAACTGTAATGTGCAACCATCAAGACATGAATATAATTCCACATTGACACATGGAGACCAATTTATTTTTAATCACCAAATAAAATTATTTTTGCCAAAAAGATATCTCAGTAGTTCCCACCTAAGTTCCTGTGTGGCCCTGCATCCTATCAGAAAATTGGCAAAACTGAATGAGGAAAATAATCCTTACAGATTATCTCTTGATATTATATAAGAGGAGAAAAGTCAAATGTGGGAAAAAAAAAAAAACAGTACACAAGCAGCATATTCGGGAAATATTTAGGAACTATAATTAAGTGTTAGTGAGCCAGTTCAATCACAAAACCTACTAAACCTGGAATTAAAAAAGAGGTCAAAGGGAATGATATTCTAGTAATCAAGATATATGCTCCCTTGTAGGAATTAAAGGATATGAGAATGAGGTGGCTTGTTAATTATTTTCTCTGATTAGGTTACCTATTTATCCCCATGTACATTTAAATATTAATCAGAGATCCACTTTAGTACAGTGTTATTCAAAAGGATAAAATGAGGGAAGAGTTCAAGATAAACAGGCACTTAAAATGGAAGATAAGAGTTCCCTGCGTGCAGAATCTAGTATTTAATAACTACTAAAGCTGTTTGTAAAGCTTGTGATAGATTTTATTTTTGCTACCTTTAACTTTTATATTTATGAAATTAGTATTTGTTTGAACTTCCAAACTCAGATTTTTATATAAAAATCACTGAATCTACTTTCAGACCTATTTAACGTTCAGGCTACACAGTTTTTAATACATTAGAAGATATGTATGCTGTGGAGGAAAGAAAGAGCACAACTGCCTGTAATAGATACCTAATCTTGAATTACTTACATAATCACTTTTAAAAGCAGCTTCACATTTTTAAAATGCAGAACACTTTCATTGTCATTAAGAAAAATCACTAAATTAACCAATTTGAAAAGCGCTATTTTACCTCCAAGAACCTTAAAACTCTGGGGATGTCTATTCCCAATTTAAAAAAATAATAATTAAAATGAACCGTGTTAGTTATTACAAACAGACTGTCAAGGGTCATTCCACTTAAATCATTGAGGAGTAAGCAGAGTTAATTATTTAGAGTCCTTTGTATCTACAAAATATTTAAAATGTAACAGAGTTAAATGAATTCATCACATTCTTCTTCAGACGATTTTTAAATTAGTTTAACATGTGGCAAGAATCCCCAAATACATATATTTGCAATTCTTGTATCATGTACTTTCTGCAACCCTTCTATTATGGAGGTTGCAATATAATTCTCCACAGCATAAGGCATGTCTGTGTTTATTTATGAGTAACAGGACAGAGCAACACACTCAAAAAGACTGCAAGGTAAAATAATGCTCTTACATATTTTGCTTTAACTTTGTATTTTAGTGAATGAATATAATTTCAAAACATGGTTTTTGAGTTCCAAACTTCTGAAACTTTGGACTAATCTTGTGCTGAAAAAGGGATTAAAGAATTAGATAAAAAGAGAAGCCAACTCATGGTGGACCATAGATAATCCTAAATACATTTGGAAATTCCAAAGGTGTATTTGGGAGCAAGAAATGGGTAGTATAAATCAATCAGAAAGAATCAGCTAGCGTGGAGCTTAGAGACATATTAGACTAATGCTTCATTTGTGCTGGAGGAAACAAAAAGGTTAAGTGACTTGTCAAAGGTTCACCAGTAAGTTAGCAGAAGAATCGGATTCAGCAATCAGTAACCACATCAAATATTTAGCGGGTAAAATCAGTACACCCCCAAACTAACATCTTTTTAGAAAATGTCACTCTACAAAAACAGAGACCTTCTTTCTTGTTTTGTTTTGTTGTTCCAAGTTTTTATTTAAATTCTAATTCCTTCTTTCTTAATCCTAATAAGTTACCAATAAAATTCTCTGGAAAGAAAATTACTCAGTGATAATCATAGTAAGTGTTAAGCATTGATTATATCCCAGATTCAGATAAAATTTCTATAATAACTTTCATCAGTGAATGGAATTACAGAGTATCTACCCTCCTTTCCACTCGTAGCCCACCAAATATAATTGGTGTAATTCAAAATCACAATATAGAGTCTGGCAGAGAAGAGACTCGAACTAGCTTCCACAATTCATAATTCACTGTGTAAGATCTCAGGATTATTTATATGTAAGTAATAAGAGATCATTTAAGTTTGTAATAGAAATATCAAAAACCTAATAAATAAACAGTCATCAGGAGAACATAAATAGACAATTTAGACAAAGGGAAATGTAAATAGATAAGTAATACATGGAGAACATAAATAGACAATTTAGACAAAGGGAAATGTAAATAGATAACAGAGAGCCCGATGCGGGGCTCGATCCCAGGACTCTGAGATCATGACCTGAGCCGAAGGCAGCGGCTTAACCCACTGAGCCACCCAGGCGCCCCATGATTTAATTTTTTACACATCAATGTTTTATATGGTTCTTCTCTTGAAGGAGTAGTAATAGTACTTCCTCTCAGCAGTGTTAGGTCAGTTATGTTAGAAAAACTTAAGAACACGTCAAGGATCAATGACATTGATAATATGATCACATGCATTTTAACAGCCTCAGTCACTAGTGATAACATAAAAGTACAGACCAATAACAAGCTAATAATTGACAAGGGAGAAACAAAATGTAATGATTAGCTTTCCACTATGTCAGTTATCTCTTAGTGTCTTACTCATTAAAGAGTGTAACACAAAACCTAAAGAAACTTCCTTGTTTACACTGGATAAAAATAGGACTCCTTTAGTGGTCTAGGTATATGTAGCTGTAATAACTCTCGAGACACAATTTTAACAAGTCTAAGTAGGTGAATTCTAGAAAGTTCCGAAATTCCATAGAGACTAGACTACCTAATCCCTAAGGACGCTCTAATTTCAAAATCTCTGGCTATAATGACAATAATGACAAAAGCTCCTAACAAAACAGCTAGGTTGCTATTTTCTGGTTTTGTAAAAAGCAGAATATTCTGAATTCTTTCACTGCAGGCAAGATAATCTTCAGTGTAACAACACGTGCCAAAGAACTCGAAAAATGTAACCCTGTTCCTCTTATGAAAAGTCAGTTTACCTAATTATTCACGGCAAAACAATTTAGAACTAGGTAGCAAAGACATTTGGGTTTTTAGGTATATTGTATTCAAATCTATATTGAGAACAGTATGAGAGCAGTCTTCTAAATACGAGAGTATTTAACAGAATCTAGGAGCATAGTCTCTAAGTCCCATTATGCAGTTTAGAATCCTGGCTCTATCCCTCACTAGGTTTGTAACTTTACGTAAACTTTCTCTGCAGGCATTTCTCCACCTACAGAATAACAATACCTACCCCTCAGGGTCATCATGAGGATTACACGAGATAGTGTGTGTTTACATGTAAAGCACGAAGAGATATGCATCTTACATAGTATGTCCTCAGCAAATATTAGCTATCGTTATATTACATTCAATTTATTTCTATTTTGGGACATAACATCTATCACAAAAATAGAATAAACAATCTGGTCACCATTTCATACAGCCAGAGAGAGGTGGAGGTAATAATTATTCCAGGAACCTCAACTCTCTCAATAGGAAACCTAATTTAAAAGGTAAGTAAGGTGTGGGGGATTGGAACAATTAAGGAAAACGAGAGCTTTCCCTTTGTGTCTTATCTCTCGTTCAACCTGCCATCCTACTTTTGCCTCTTCCGGTACTGCTACTTAACTATCAGAATTCTCAGACACAGTCACCAAATTATTTTTTTTAACTCGGGATTTTGCATCATACTGTTAGCCACGATATCCTAGGAAATAAACATGTTCCTTCACGTGTATAAAACAATATAATTACAAGTATTAAGTAGACACTGAAGGAGTGTGAAACAACACCGAGACTCCAATGAAATGTTCACACAGATCACTAACTCTTTGTCCTGTAATGATTTAAACATAATTCAATATTATGTTTATTGAGCAACAGCTCACTTTTATTTTTAAATTTTTCTCCTTCAGTGTCATTGAGAAATTATTGACCTATATCACTGTATAAGTTTAAGGTGTACAGCACAATGATTGGATTTACATATATTGTGAAATAATTACCATGATAGTTTCAGCTCATGTCCATTTTCTCATCGATACAATAAAAAGAGAAGGAAACAAAATCCCCTTGTGATGAGAATGCTTAGAATTTACTCTCTTCACAATTTGCCCACATATTATACAGCAAGTGTTTATAGTCACCACGTTGTATGCTGTATCCCTAGTATTTATTTAACTTCCAACTGGAAGTTTGTACCTTGTAACCACGTTCTCCAATTCTTATTTTTAAATCTCAAGGCACCCTGAATGTCTCAATGTCCTCTAAACTTCCTTGCAATCAAGTCAAGGAAAGATAGGGCCTTGAGTGAGGACACAATCAATTAAATCCAATTTGTAAAGTAAGAGTACCATTAGACAGTGTCTATGAATGCTTGGTACATACAGAATAGACCCTGTGTAAGGATGAAGCATGCATAATTTCTTCTTAAATTAAAAAAAACAAAAAAAAACAAAAAAAAAACTTACCCAAAAGCAAAATATCTTTGTACACCATGGATCTCTTCGTAGCTCCAAGCAGTAAATGTTCTCCTGCGTGAGCTCTCAACAGTGCCACCTTAATGAAAAATTTCAAGTTTAACAGTTAATTATAAAATATGATGATTAGAAGATGTTATAATATGTGTCTGATTAACTCAGCGTTCTTTAAGCCTGGGATCTTTTTTGTTGTTGTTGTTTTAATAAACTGTAAAATTCATAGAGACTTGCCATCACTAAGCTTTCTATTTTTCTATTTTACCATGTCAACAGAGTTTTACTTTTCAAAAATCTAAAACTTCCAAGTCAACAGAAAGGAAACAAACCACCACCACCAACAACAAAAAGCAGAAAGAAAAGTGTTTTAGGATGAAAGAGAATCAAACAAAGCAGAGTTCAAATCCTGGCTTGGCCATGTACTATCTGTTCAACCTTAGATAAGCTCACCAGTAAGCTTGGGACTCTTTTGTTTTCATCTATCAAATGGAGGCAGTGATAAAAATCTCCAAGTGTAGTCAGAGGACTACATAAGAAAGTAAATGTAAAACACACTCTGTTACACATAATAAACTGAATAAACAAAAGCAAGGGAGGACTTGTGAAGAGGATGGGTGATCTGCTTGCTGACACTTTCTAGATTGAACCTCTAACTCTTTGCACTAAGCTCTCAACTGAGCTCTATGCATATACTCAACTGCCTACTTATCATCACCACCAGGAAGAACAGGAAGCATTCCAAATATAACACATCAAATTAATGTGTCTCCAACATCTTCATCGTCTTAGTAAATGGCCCCATCATCCAAAATACTCATTCATGTCAGAAACAAGAGTCCATTTTGATTCTATTCTAATTGTACAGCAAATCTAGGCACTGCTTCGCCATTGCTCCCACCCCCCCACTCCCCCCTCACCCCCCCACCCCCCCACCCCCCCTCCCCATGGAGCCTTTGTCATTCTTCATCTTGCCTAGCCTGAGCTAATAGGTATGCCCGCTTCCTTTCTGGTTCCTCCATCCTAAATCCTTGACAGAGCTTCCCAGAACATATTTTCAAGATAATAATCACTTAATATCACTCCTCTGCTGAAAACTCTTCACTGGTTCCTTATTATCTTTACGATAAACCCCAAACTCCTTAACCTTGGCCTCGCTTTGCCCACACCCACTTCTCTGGTTTTATCTTTCCACATCCCTTGTTCACTTTTCTCAAGGCACATTATTCCTACTTGCCTCAGACCCTTTGAACGTGATGTTCCTGTCCCTGGAATGCTTTGTCCTCAGATCTTGGCATGCCTGGCCCCTTGTCATTCAGGTCTCAGGAAAAATGTCTAATCTCCAACTTAATGTATGTCTTCCCATTCCACTCCAGTTATTCTCCAACTCATTCCATTCTGTTTTATAGAACTTATCCCCACCTAGAATTGACTTACTCATAATCTGTATATTTTTTATTGTCTGTCTCTCCCAAATAGAGTGCAAACTTTATGAGAATAGTGATGCAATCTGTATTTTTATTGCCAAATCCTCACAGTTCCTAAAACTGAAATGTAGTCCTACTAAATATTTGTTTGATGAATTTTCTGAGTGAATTTCACTGATCTAGGGTCAGTTTTAAACACTGTTAAGTGGAGATAATAACATTTATGCCAGAGCTCTTGAGAGGACTAAATAAACTAATGTAATATATAATGCAACTGAAAGCTACTTCTATTAGTGACTTAACCACAATGGACATTTGCCAATCCATGGCTATTAATGTTATACTGTTAGTATTCAAGTGTCCTTTGGTAAATACAAACTCTTTCTGGCAGGTTACTGGATTTTAATTTTCCAATTTTAAAATCATTGTCTTCATACACAAGTCAGCAACTTTTAAAGAGGAGTGATAATAAAAATATTAAAATGATAAATAACATAACCCTACTTATATGGCTTGAGGTGAGACACACACATATGTTTTAGCAATTTAGCATTATTCATTCTGAAATAACCTTCCGAGCCAAGCTATCTTTATGATATGTCAATAACCCTGACTCACACCAGGAAGGCAGTTACAGAACATTTTAAGAATGATTTCAGATTTCATAGCACTTTTTTTTTTTTTTTTTTTTTGGTTCGCTATGTGAAATGCTGTCTTAGAAATATAACTGCTGACTTCCTATGATCACTTTTCATTCTGGTTGTGTAAATATTTTGCCCTTCCTGGATTTTTTAAACAATCACGCACCTTTCCCTTTGATCGTTTCTTTGTTTTTGTGTATTAGTGGTAAAGGGCACTGGTCAGAAGGTATAAAAATATATGCTAGGTATACATACGATGGTTTACTCAATGTGGCAGAATAAAAATTTTCAAACTACTGGCATCTACAAAATATTATTAACTACTTAGATGGAAGCATTCAAAATGAATCTGAAGTGAATAATCTAGTTTTCATAGACTACGAAATTAAAATTCTTAGCTATTAATTAAAATGTCTTAAGGTATATATTACAAAATATGAAAATATATGTAATAGGAAAAGATTATTGTATCTGAATTCTATCTCTCTGTACATTTCAGAGTATGATTCTAGAGATATTTTTTGCCAGATATATTCTTTTTATATAGTGAATGCTAGAATAAAATTGACAGCATGAAAGGCAAAATTTTATGTTAATTGAATAAAGTGCCTACAAAGACACAACATAACCTATGTGGTTTCTGTCTATGAGTGGTCTGGTTTTTCAGTGGAATTTTATATGGCACCTTCCATAAACACCAAGACCCAACAGCGTACCACTTGCCTTCAGATATTTATTCTGCCAATACTTTTCTCACAATGGCAGTTCCTTGCTATCTGTTTTTCTTCCTCACTAAAGCTTTTTAAACTCTAGGAGGGAAGAACCCTGTCTTCCTCAACTTCACCCAATAAATAAATCGCAGGACCCCTAAAATAGAAGTTAAATAGTTGTGCCTTTTGAGAGAACAAGGTGAACAGACAAGAAAACCAATCTTTTTCTCATAACTGAATCTTTGTTAAATATGGTCAATCTACTATAAACATAATTTAAAAAACACAAAAACATAGCAAAGTTAGAAAAAAATTCCGAAAGCACTCATGACATCTTTTAACTATACCTGGTCATCCAGTGGCAACTCACAGAAGGCAGGAATATATTTAGCCCATTCCACCAAGACGAGGAGCTGTTGTTTCATGGACTCACAGACATCACCGATACTTGCAATCTTCTTAACGTTTATGTCAGTGCTTGAGCCGGGGCTGGAGACTGAGATCTAGCATGAAGATCACATTAATTTACCATTTAAAATAATAATGAGCAGTATTTCTCTTTTTTCTATGACTTCAACAAGTACACAGCTTTGAAGTGGGCACGCTCATTGCCACAGTATCTTGACATACACGGAACATTTTAAAATTGAGACAAACATACCTCTCAGTACGAGCTAAATTGTAAATATTCACTGCACAGTACTATGTTCTGGGAGCAGTACCTTTTTTACTGGCAAAACCATAAAATAAGTTACTCAACTTCCAGGATTTTCCTAATTCAAAATGACTATGCAAAAAAATACGCCATAGTCACATGGAACATGCTTTGTGATTTTATTTTTACAGAAAAAAAAAAAAAAAAAAAATGTTTCCAGTGGATACAGTTTACCAAACAGGAAAAACGATTTAGAAGAGAAGTCAGAACTAGCAATGTTGCTTCATGACACGGAAGCCCACCAAAGTAAAATTAAGAAACCAACTTTTGACTCAGCAACATTGAGAAGCTTAACCTGTACTGAAAAAATTTTTCAATTATATATAATTTTGAACTATATAAAATATAAGTGGTTTTAAGATGTTTTTCTGCTAAAATTGCTTTCTAAAAGTTCTTATAAACTTAATTTTTGAACATATATGTGTGTGTGTGCATGCATGCGTGTGTCTATCTATGTGTATGTCTATTTCTTCACAGCCTCCTAAGCCATTCTGCAAACACTCTATAGGATCATTAAGTAATCAAGGATTGATGATAATGGAGATGTTAGGCTCATCATACCACCCTCGTGCTATCAAAAATGAAAGTAGTTGCACTGACTCATTATAGAACCTGATTAATAGTTAGCTATTTCATAATTTTTTATAATAGAAAAATATCATTAACTTTTCTCATGGGGCAATGCTAAAATAAACTGTCTTCAAAAGGTTTTCTTATTTGATCCTTTTTTTTTTTTTTTTTTTTTTACACTGACCAGTTTATCATAAAAAATACAATTCAGGAAAAACCAAATGGAAAAGATGCATTGAACAAGATAGATAGGTAGGGGTGTGGAGTGGTGGAAAGCTTCCATGCCTTCTGCAGGGAAATCACTTTTCCAAAATGTTGACTTGTTCACCAACCTGTTTGTTGTTCCAAGCGTTTTTATAACCCAGTCTTCAGCCCCCTCTCTTCACAGATAGCCAGTGGGTGGGGTTGAAATTTCCAATCCTTGAATCCCAATTTGGTCCTTCTGGGACCCACCCTATGTCACCTCATTAGCATAAACCCTGAAGAGGTCTGTTGGAGATTTTATGACTAACAAAAGGCTCTCTTATCACTCAGGAAATTGCAAGGATTTTAAGTCTTCTTTTTTTTTTTTTTTTTTTTAAGTAGGCTCCACGCCCAGTGTGGAGCCCAACATGGGCCTTGAGTTCACAATCCTGAGATTATGACCTGAACTGAGATCAAGAGTCAGATGTTCAACCACCAGAGCCACCCTGGCGCCCTTCTTCATTTGATTCTTAAATGATTTATTTTTATGTATATAACTAATGACAAATAATTTTAAACTTTGGAACTGATATTCTCATTCTAGAAATTTAAAATAATAAACTCCTTCTCCATTGGTTTCTGGATTCTGGTTCTTCCCTTAAATACTTGTTTCCAAAACGGATGCCAAGGTGAATTCTTTAGTTCAGAAACCATTTTCAAAGAAGGAAGCCCTGAGGTTAGGTCTCAACCAAGCTTCCCAAAAGTCACAGTAACTGATTTTACAGACGTAATCAGTAAAGTAAGCTCCTGCCCCCAGAGGATTGTGCTACGCATTCAGTATTATAAACCAACCTTGTAAACAAACTTTCATTTAACAACATTAGACTGAAATACATTGCATTTTTCTGTTTAAAAACAGGAAGTTGTCCAGGAAGAGTCAAAATTAAGTCAACATTTCACCTAATATTTTCAAAGTAAAACTGTAGTTCATTTTAGAAGTGAGCCCATTTAAATGAACTTAGATTATTTTTGAGTTATGCCTAAATAGACATTTGATTCTGTTGGACAAGACTGATGCTGGAGTGCCGCAGGTACCTGGCGAGACCGAATTTCTGCTTGAGCCAGTGTGTTAATGGAGGGGATGTTGCTGCCATCAAATGCGCTTCTTCTGGTGCTTATTCTATCCCGTTCGTTTTGCACAGCTAGGAGAGAAAAATCGCAGTATTCATTGGTCAGTTCTTTTCACTACATGTCAGGAAATACAGTTTTAAATTTAAAAATAATAGTATAAAAAGAAAGAAGGGCTTAAGGGGCAGAGGGGAAACCATGTTATGACTGAGGCTATTTTTCATTCTGCACCACTTTTAAAAAGAAGGCCAAGCCTGTCATTAGATCTCATAAAATATTGCCTTTTGAAACTTCATGATCGTAGGCGTGTCAGAAAGCATTGGGTCAGTCAGTTCAACCACGCAGTATCTGTGATAGGATGGTTTTTCCATTCTCTCAACGTTAATAAAACTATAAGATAAGTAGAGGAAGAGTATCGCCTGTGAGATTGACGAAGGTAAAGAACATATCCACCATCAGAAGATAGGAATCACAGATTTTGAAATTTCCATTTTTTTTTTCTCAAACACTAGGAGAAATGGAAAATGAATTTTATTTAGGAAAGGTGATTTTAAGCTTGCAATCTCATGATCTCTTATGAAACAATGTGCTTGGGACAGTTAACAAACGATAATAAAGCAAAAGTTGCAGGAAGGGGTGTCTTCTGAGGAGACTAAGGTTTGAACATCAGCATTTTGGAAGGGTGAAGACATCTTAAGTATCATATAAAAAGCTTCTAGGAGAGAGCTAGATCTACTTGTTTCAGAAAGGAAAGGGAAAGTAATGTGTGTTTCTGAATTCCTTATTGAAAACTAGAGTTTATTTAATTAATTTATTTTTTTAAACATTTTATTTATTTAGTTGACAGAGAGAGAGCACAAGTAGGGGAACAAGCAGAGGCAGAGGGAGAGGAAGGAGGAGGCTCCTTGCTGAGGGGAAGCCCAATGTGGGGCTTGATCCCAGGACCCTGGATCATGACCTGAGCTTAAGGCAGATGCTTAACTGACTGAGCCACCCAGGCTCCCTGAAAACTACATTTTAAATATAAGGAAGAGTGAGAGAGGGAGTATTACCTCGTATATTTGTCATATAAAGAATAATATAAGTCAAATATCAATGTTAGACTTACTTACTTATTTTTTAAAGATTTATTTATTTATTTTAAGAGAGAGAGAGAGTGAGTGTAGAAGCGGGAAGGGCAGAGGGAGAAAAAGAGTCTCAAGGAGACACCATGTTTTGGCTCTGACATGGAACTAAAACTCAGAGTCCAATGCTAAACTGACTGAGCCATCCAGGTGCCTCTCAACGTTAGGTTTTAAAACTTAGGAGTTAAATATATCTTCAGTTAACCAAAAAGAATGAAAACAAGGCCTATAGCCCCTAAATTACTTAGATCAATGCTCTACCCTGTTCTGCTGGAGAGAGAAGATATAAAACTATTAGAATTTTTAATTAAATTATTCTTTTATTAAAGAGATGCACCAATTTCTATGCCAAAAGCTACTATCTACCCCATACTTACTATTAGTCATGAAGTCATTAATTTGGAAGAGAAAATACTGGACTTTGCTTTTAAGAGTGAGTAGTGTTGAAGCTGGGAATGAATCATTAATATTTTATCTTAAAATCATATTTACTGGTAGCTTACTCTTTTTTCCCCACAGAAATGGTCATTGATTTTCAGCCTAAACTGAGTCATATGGAAATGCATATGTGGAGATAAAAAATTAAAATGTAAGCTATGCTTTAGTGAATTTCATTTACATGATCAATCCTCAGAAACATACCAAAAGATATTGTGAACATTTGTAATCTTACTGCTATCATTTTTAAAAAAATATTTTGTTTATTTATTTGGCAGAAAGAGATCACAAGTAGGCAGAGAGGCAGGCAGAGAGAGAGAGTGAGGGAGGGAGAAGCAGGCTCCCCGCTGAGCAAAGAGCCCGACTCGGGGCTTGATCCCAGGACCCTGAGATCATGACCTGGGCTGAAGGCAGAGGCTTAACCCACTGAGCCAGCCAGGTGCCCCACTGCTATAATTTTTTACATAAAACCATGTTTATATAGGATTCTATCCAACTAACCTTGGTATTATGTTATTACTGTAAATAAGAGAAATATATCTTCAAAAGTTACTTCCTAATCTATTTAGAAAAAACTAATGCATTATTCTATGAATGGTAGGAGACATAATTTAACTATTTTTGAAAGTAATTTTCTTTCAAAACCTGTGAATTTTTAAAGGAAATAGAGGATTGTGACTTCCTTATACTTATGTAGGAGTAGTGCTGTGGTTCAAATAGAAATAGATGAAATTGATCAACAAAGTATGTAATAAATCCTAAAAACTACTAAATATTGCCATTAGAAATAAGTCATTTTGTAATGACAAAGTGCTTCTCCTTTAATTTTGTAAACTTTATTTTGCCTTCTTTTGGAGACTAGTAATCCAAATGAAACCAATGGAATTTAGGTCTCTTTAAAATATTGTGACAAAGAAAAAACCAGCTATGTTCAAGGTAAGTTTGATATACTTTACATTTCTGTAGTATTTAACTTGATTTTTTTTTTTTATGGTTTGTGAAATAGTTCTGAAAAATATTTCTTGGTATGTAATAGGCATAAGCATGTGAATTGATAAGCATAAAATACTGCAGTGGTTATCTCCTGCCAAATGTCTACATGTGTTCAACAGATTTGTTTCCAAATTAACCACAGTTAGAATGTAGGATAATATAATCAGATTATTTACTACGTTTGAAGTGAAATTAAGAAACAGAGTATGTAGTCCACTGTCTCTGTTCCTCAATGGAATATAAGCTCCCTGAAAGGAAGGACTCTTTTTTCTGTTATGTTCACCACTGAAGCCTTAGCATATGCAACAGTTTTTAGAAAGAAGTGCTCAATAAATATTTGCTAAATAAATAAATCAATGAATAAAAAGTTAATATTCAATCAATGTTTATGAGATAAAGATATTCAATTATTATTGACAATAAATATGTGTTTAAAAATGATGTTTATAATTTCAACCTATTAATAGATTTTGCCATTTCTCTTTTGAACAGGGTATCGGGATATTATTTAGATAATACTTTTCTTTCCAGGTATAACACAGTAGCAGAGGTACTAGTGTCTGGAATCAGACAATCATCAAAGACTGGGTGTCATAGTCCTTGGGTAAATTCTTAAACTTGAAGAAAATCAGAATTCATTTGAAAAAGTTATGTGAATGTCCTTGGGTAAATTCTTAAACTTGAAGAAAATCAGAATTCATTTGAAAAAGTTATGTGAATGCATGAGGATGTATGTGTATAACAATTTCCACCAACAATTATCATTATTATACTATATATTGTTACCTTCTTTCTTCATTCCTGCTCTGAAACACTTTCTTAATCGACAATATCTGCATTGATTCCTTTTGTCCTTGTCAACAACACATTGCCGACTGAACCTATAATATCAAAGATATATTAGTTTGCAGAAAACTGTTTATGAAACAAAAACAAACACACACAGATAAACAGATAAACAGACAAACAGACCTTGGGTATATATGGTCAAATTTGGCCCAACAGGAAGAATGTTAAGAAGAGTTACCTGCAACTTTTCCAGTCTAATGGTCAGCGTGTATGTGAAAATCAAGCTTCACTTCTCATGCAGTCTTTATAATAAAATAAAACTGAATGATATTTGACTTTTCACCAGGATACACACTATACATTATCACTTCTATCCTGAGTTGGGAAAGCCAAACCTAGTTTAAAAATCCTTGGCATGTGAATTCTATTTGCTTATTGCTAAATGATTTCAGTATAATGGAGAATATATCAGAACTTCATTCCTCTGCACTTTCATGCTTTTCTCTTTTAAATATCCTTCTATTAATTTTAAATGTGCCTCAAATGCAACTGAAATTTACTCTAACTGCCAAATTACATATCCAGAGGTGGGTGAAAACAACACTTAAAGTATGGTCTCTGCATAATTAGGTACTATCGCACAGCCACTAAAATGACTATAATCGGAAAAAAAAAAAGAAAAGAAAGAAACAGACAATAACAAGTGTCAATGAGGGCGTGGAAAAACTGGAACCCTCATACACAGCTTTTGTAATATAAAATGATACAGCTGCTTGGCCAAAAGTTCGGCAGTTTTTAAAGAAAAGTTAGACGTTAGAGTTAGCATATGACCCAGCAATTCCACTCCTAGGTATATACACAAAAGAAATGAAAACATATGTTCTCACAGAAATATGCACACAAATGTCCAAATAGCCATGATTCCTAACAGCCAAAATAAAGGGACAACCCAAAAACCCATCAGCTGATGAACAGATAGATAAAATATGGTGCACCTATGCAATGGATATTATTGTCTGCCAATGAATGGGAATGGAGTACTGATACATGCTACAACATGGGTGACCCCTGAAAACACATTCGAAATGAAAGAAGTCAGGCATACCTGAGAGATACTGCTGTTTTGGTTTCAGGCCACCACAATAAAGCTAGTATCATAATTAGGTGAGTCAAATGAAATTTCTTGGTTTCCCAGTGTATATTAAAGTTATGTTTACACTATACCATAATCTACAAAGTGTGCAACAGCACAGTCTAAAATACCAATGTAATACCTTAATTAAAAATATTTTATTGCTAAAAACTGCCAACCATTATCTGAATGTTCCACAATATTGTAACCACTGATCACAGATCATCATAACAAATGTAATAATAATAATGAAAAAGTTTGAAATATTGCAAGAATTACCCAACTGTGACTCACAGACACAAAGTGAGCAAATACTGATTGGAAAATGGCACCAAAAGACTTGCTCAACACAGGGTTGCCACAAATCTTCAATTTGTAAAAAAAAAAAAGCAATGTCTGTGAAGTGCAGTAAAGTGAGGTGTGTTTGTAATTTAATTTACTTCAAATGTCCTTAAGAAACAAATCTATAGAAACAGAAAGTGCATTAATCATTGCCTGTCATTGGAGGGGAGGGAGTTAAGGGAAACAGGGAGCAACAGCTTAAGGGCAGGAGGTCTCTTTACAGGGTGATGAAAATGTTTTAAGTTGGTTGTAGTGATGGTTGCACAACTCTGTGAACATACTCAAAACCTGGATTAAACACTTAAAAATATTAAAATGTATGGTCTCTGGAATTAAATGTGAGCTTGATTTCCAGTCCACCATTCACTCCTGATGGAACACGTGAGGATGTTATTTAACATTCCCAAATTAATTTACAGCTGTCAAATTGGAAGGACTTTCAGCAAAACGTTGTGTGCATGTAGGGTAAATATAAATCATAGACTTTGGAGCAAATATCAATCATATAGTAAAATAATAATATTTCTTCCAAATTGCATCATAAAATTATCCACATCCATATGTATTGGTATATTACTGATTATTTGTAATAATATCAATATCATTGATATTGTATCAAAGTACATTGATGATACAATGATTGATACAATGTATACTGTATCAGTATTACAAATATAAATTTGTAATTACTGGTATGTTACTGATTATTAATGATGGGAATAAAAGAACCTACTGGTGATCTACAAAAGAAGATTGTTCTTCTAAAAATGATGGGAAGCCACTTTGAACTGACTGAATATAAAATCTACTATAAAAGAACTGAGCTGGAAGAGAGGTATTTTTAAGATGAGGAAAAAGAATTGTTCACTTGGAAATTCATGGCTTCAGGAGAAGGAATCTGATTACCAATAAATAAAAGAGGAAAATACACCCAACTAACATTAATGCAAAAACTGAATAAACATATTGAGCACCTTCTGTGTACAAGATCATGGTGTAGGGATTAAACAAAGGAATATGACCTGTCTTCTCCATTCGAGGAAACCATAACAGAGTACACATACAAGTTTACAAACAGCCATAATAAAGAGAAGATGATGTGAGAAATATTGAAACAACAATTTAAAGTGGTTTAGAGGGAAAGCCCAACTTCAGTGGGACAGAAGAGCTAAAATAGAAATAAAATTTGTACATCCGAGGAAATGGATAAATTTGAGACCAGCAAAATCTGAGCTTAAAAAACCTTTACATTCCTACACCTTCATTATTATAATAAGTATTTTCCAAATGGAAAATCACAGCACTTTTTTAATACCAAAATATGTAAAGAAGGCTAAGTTGGCAGCAATACTCATGATGAGGAGATGTGAGTCGTCAAACTGTACATGTGGTGGGAATATTTTTTAATTCCAAAAGTTGTATGGGAACACTCCTTTCTCACTTTTCTCATACAGTAAGGGAAGAAATCTTGAAAGCCAATGGTGCCAATATTTTCTGATTCTTAAAAGTCTTTGTTGGATTTAGTTGTTTGGATCACACTATTTTTCATATATATGTATTTCATCTTTAACAGAACATATGATTCAAAATATATTATTTACATGTTATTTTGTGCTTATTTTCACTGTTAATTTTGTAAATTATGTAGAAGCACTGAATATTTAATGTAATCATAGAGAAGATGCTTTTAATGAGGGAAATCTACTTGGTTTATTTTTTTATATCTAGAGCTCTAATGTACATAAAAGCAAGACTCATGTAAATATATTTTTTGTTTATCAAGAAGATTTTAAAGTGGATGATTTAATTTTTTTTTTTTTTAACCAACTTTAAGCCCTCCTGGAAAAATTACTAGAGAACATTAGTTAGGTATTTGGAGAGTTATACATTAGCTTTTTCCAGACCCTAGAAATCAAATGGCATCATATTGTGAGGGAGATTAACTTTTTCCCAAATGTCCAGCTTGTTCACAAAATAACACAGCAATTCTATACATGCTACTCATCAGTAGAGCAAACATTGATATTTTTCTGTTAGCATCAGTCATTTTTTTAATAGTGCATATTTCATACAGATGTAATCTACATTCCAGAACTGTCATTCTGAAGATTCAAGGTGGAGTATCTAATCCTAACTTGTACTACGATGTTCACTAGATATTTTTTAAGCTTACTAGAAATATGTGGCATATACAATAGAGTTAAATATATTTTGGACAAAACATTGAATTCAATGGCAAAATTGTGGCATGAGAAATACACTTAAAATTTTAAGACTGAAAATTTAAGCTCATTCACTGACTTTGACAAGCTACCAAAATCATCCACACTTTTATAATTGTGTTTGAAAGACTCGGGAGGTAGAGATGTTAAAAAGAAAATCAAGATGCAGAAAAACACACAGATTGTGAAACCATTTAAATACAGATTTAAATATGTCCACTGGTATATGAACATGTGGTAAAACAATAAAGGAACAAAAGAAAAGACAAACACCACATTTCAGACAGTAGCTACTTCTGGGAGGGAGGACAGAAAGAGAAACCGATAGAGGAGGTGTGTTCACTAAAGGCTTCTACTATATTGGTCTAGGTTGGATGATAAGTATGTGGATTTTTTTTATATGTTTTATAAGTCTAAAATGTTTCATAAAAAAGAACTACCTGTAGGAATGCATCCTGCGTACACACCCACATACCCATACTTTTTTTTTTAAGGATTTTATTTATTTATTTGACAGACAGAGATTACAACTAGGCAGAGAGGCAGTCAGAGAGAGGAGGAAGCAGGCTCCCTGCTGAGCAGAGAGCCCAATGTGGGCTCGACCCCAAGACCCTGGGATCATGACTTGAGCCGAAGGCAGAGGCTTTAACTCACTGAGCCACCCAGGTGCCCCCCCACATACCCATACTTTAAACACAGCTTACAGATTTTTTTTCCATACAGACTTTGTTTGTATGAAAATTGATTTCTTAAAAGATTTTATTTATTTATTTATTTATTAGAGAGAGAGAGAGAGAGAGAGAGAGTGAGGGAAGGGGGAGAGGGAGAGGGACAAGCAGACTTCAGGCTGGGTGGGGAGCTGGACTCTGGACGCGATCTCAAGACCCCGGGATCACGACCTGAGCTGAAATTAAGAGTCAGATGCTAACCGACTAAGCCACACAGGTGCTCCAAAAGCCCTGATTTTATCCCTTACTTCTTGCGCACCATTTTGAAATGCCTCTAAAGAGAAATTTCTCAAAAGGAGCATCTCAAGTACCTGCAGGAATAAACATGACTCTTGCGTATGCTGCGTCTGAAGAAGCCCTTACACCCATCACAGCTTGATGCTCCATAATGCTTTCCCGTTGCTCGGTCCCCACATATGGCACAAAGGCAGTTGACACCATTGTCTGTGGTATTCATACTTGTTGTCTCTGGAGCAGAGCTATCTGTTAAAGAAAAAGCAGAGTAGCCTTCAAGTTAATACTAAGTATTTCTTATTTATATTACCCTACTAATTATTCACAGGCTCAAAACAGTCCATTTCCTTGACCTCTTGGAGCACACTAGTGCTCTCCTTTTAACCACTGGCCACTTCTGCCAGTCTCCATTCCAGTCTTCCCTCACATATTTCTGAAGATTAAACTTTGGGACACTATAGGTCTAAGTCCCCACAAATATACTCTTTCCTAGGGAAAACCCATTTGGTCCCATGATGTCAAATATCATGTGTATGAGAGAAAAATCCCCAGATTTTCTCTCTACCCCTGATGTCTTCCATGGGTATCAGTTTGAAATGCCCAAATACTTTTTTAACTACTTCATTTTAAAGTTTAATAGGAGGGGCGCCTGGCTCAGGTCATGGTCCCAGGGTCCTGGGATCGAGCCCCATATCGGGCTCTCTGCTCAGAAGGGAGCCTGCTTCTCCCTCTCTCTCTGCCTGCCTCTGCCTACTTGTGATCTCTGTCTGTCAAATAAATAAATAAATAAATAATCTTAAAAAAAAATAAAGTTTAATAGGAATTGCAAATTAATGTATCAAAACACAACTCTTCTATTTTTCCCCTCAAATTTGTTCTTCCTTCAGTCTTCCCTATGTCAGTCAGTCAATGGTTCCATCCAGTACCTTGGGCCAATAACCCAGTGGTCTTCATTGGATTCTCCCCGTCATTGTTCATATCCAATCTAATACTAAGTCCATATTTGAAATACATATTGAATTCACAACTTTTCACCCTTTTACCATGGTCACCCTTACCCAATCAACTATAATCTTTCCCCTACATTACTGCAATAGCCTCTTATCTAATTTTTCTGTTTCCACCCTTGCTCCCCTACTGTTTATTACCCCAAAGTGCTCTTGGAACAAGAAATTCACATCATATTAGTCTTCTGTCCCTAACCCTCAGAAACAGAATAAAGCCTACGCATCTCAGGCTTGCTGTAAAGCCTTGTGTGTTAAAGCTCCCTCCCACCTCTCTGACTCCATTACTTGGTACAACTTTCCATCCTGTTCACTGTTCAACAATGTCGCCTTTTTAACTTCCTTAAGTTGGCAGTTTCCATCTCTGAATTTTTACATTTGCTGCTCCTGCCTCAAAGGAAAGTTCTTCCTCAAGGATGTCTTTGAACTGGTGATCTGATTTCTGCTCCAGTTTCACTGTCTATGAAATATTCTCTGAACACACATCTAAGAGTCGTCCCTCATCTGCCCTCCAAGTAGAATCTAGAACCCTGATTATTTTTTTAAATAACTACTTCATTTTTAAAAATTATGTACTAGTCTGTTCATTTACCACCCCCTCTTTCCCTACAGTATATAAACCTCATGATGTTAGAGAACTTGGATCTGTCTAAATTCTAACAGAACAACTCATCGTATCTTGAATATAACAAAAGATAAAATTAAAGTCTGTCATGTGTCAATTAAATTCTGTGAAAACACATATATTCTGCTTACTAATACTACTGAGTAGACAGACATTACCATATATAATTTCGTCAAGAAAAACCTTAATGAGAATATGTTTAAGGGTTAATCATGTGATGTTATAGAGTTTAACGTGAAGAATTTTTCTTTTTGGTAACATAAACAAAATTGGTTTAGAAATACGACAGAAGTGTTAGGATTGATTGTATTCTAGATTTACGGAAACAGGAAAAAAATTCAGCTCTTGCTTCCAGTTTAATGTCATACTTACATATTGTTAACAACATTATTACAAAACAAGTTAGACAACACAGAAGTTAGCTGTGTTACATATTTATGCTAAATCTGTCCTTATTTAGTAATATACAGTCTTTTAAAAAATCATGATTCTCTGGAGCCAAATATATTATTAAATATTTTTAATCAAATCTAAACCTAAGGAATAAAAATAGTGATTTCCTAAGATTTGCACTAAGGGTTTCTTTTAATTCTCTTTGTGCTAAAATTTCAGAATTTATCTTCTAAGGATTAAAAAAATCTTCCCACTAATAAACTGTTGCTTATTATAAATATAATGAGATTAGCAGTTGTAAAACTGAGGAGCATAGCAGAACGTTACCCTATCCTGAGTAGAAGATATATTCTCAATCCCAAACTATACTACACACACACACACACACACACACACACACACATGTTTTTCAAAGTATATATAATTACTAGATTTGAGGTGTTCTGACAATTATAAGTAATCTTGGACAAGACTTTTACTTGGGAAAAACCTAAATACAAAGTCAACAATAAACTATATTATATAAAGACATGAACTCTAAACAATCCATGCCTTATTTGAAGTTAAAAAGTTACAGTGGATAAATACCAAGAGATTTGTGAGGCTAAACATTAGCTTGTCAAGTAGTAAGGTTATAATATAAGCCTTTATTTCCTTTCATACTGGGTTCAGTGCAAAAACTTACAGTAATTTTAAATGAAGTTTCTCATCAACAGCCATTGAGAACTGAAACGACAGGAGGAGGCAACCAGTAAAAGCCTCCAGCGTTCTGTATGTCATTTTAAATACCGCATAGAAAATGTACTTCACAGCCAGTCTGCCAATGTTACTTACTACTGTGATTTACAGTAAATAAAGTAACTTCTGAAACTGTTCTTTTTACCTTAACTGGCCTATGACAGAATTCTGAGGTCACTTTGTTACGCGAAACTAGACTTTAAAAAAGACTCAACATAAATGAGCCATAACAATATTAACTTAAATTTTGTGAGGAAATACAAAAACTCAGATACATAGTCTTAAAAACCAAGTCATGAATTCTTCAGCAAGGAGATACAGAGCTACCACCTGGGAAGCTCAGTTTTTACCCCTCCCATTATAGCTGCTTTCCTTTATGTCTACAAGTAGATGAGAACTCACCATTTGAATTATACAGAATCTGCATAGTTTCAAACTCCAAAGTTGTGTAAGTTGGGTCCAATACTTCACTGTAATTTGCCATCTCCATGTCCAGTATCGGTTCTGATACCCTCATCATTGACTTAGAAACACACATACAAGTGCCACCACAGGCCAGCGTGTGTGATGGCTGCTGGGCTTTCAATCTGTGAGTGATAATCCAAAGTTAACTGTTACTGTTAACAGTGACTTACGTGGGAGGAGCTGTAAAACTGTAAACTCCTCTGCAGGCCATATTCTGTTCATTTCTTTTTCTTTTATGGCATACGAAAGCAATTCCTTGTGATAATCTTGGAATGCTTCATGGAATCACCTTATCTGAAGTGCTTAGTGGACGAATATGATTTCCTAAATTGATTCCCAGTAGACAATAAATGATGTCATTAAGTAGTTAAAAATAGAAAAGAGAATCTCTCGGGTTTCAAGTATCTGTAACATGATTTATGCCATGCAAGGGGCTGAAATCACATACCACATGTTCTAAAAAATGGGATTTTACTGTTATAAATCTGATGCCAAGACTGTAAGTTAACACTTAACATAAGCACTTAATGATTTCAATTTTTCTTACTGTACAATAGAGCTAACTTTGTTTATGTTGGGGTAAAACATCTGTAATTTGAAATGACAAGGATTTGTGATATATTACAGTAGTAGCCTGGACATAACCCTAATATGGCTGGACATATTCTCCTTAACTATTTACTTATGAATCTGTGTCCCTTGAATGTTTGTAAACTTCCCAAGGACACAACTACTATAGTTGCTAGCACGTTGTAGGCATTCTATAAAAATAGCTACATGAATAAGTTTTCATTTCTTTTGACTTCTGATGCTTACTACATTCTAGGCACTGAATTCAAATAGAATTATCCCTAACATGTGTGGACCCATCATCAACCTCTAATACCTAGCATCTATATAGTACAGTACATCTTTTACACACACACGTGACAAGGGACATTTAGAATTTGGGGAACATTTAGAAGATAGGATTCAATGATTATATTTTACTTCTGAGAATACGTTTATTGATTTTATCTTCCAAGAAAGAATTTCAGCCACATTTACATTATAAAGTCAGAATCTCATTTCCTATGTTTGTTAAAAACTATGGCAAAGTAATATTTCTTATTCAACTTCTTAATACCATAAACCTTGTGAATATTGCATGTTAGAAAATTATTACATTTTTCATCTAGGAAGCCCAGCCTCTTAAAATATATTCAAAACCATGTGAAGAATTTGTGAAGAAAATAGCAGAGTCATTTTAGCAATCAGATTCACTAACTAAACAGTGATAACTGAATAGTTCACTTGCCTTCATATTCCGTAGCACTCAATTGTGAGGATCGTATCTGAGGGATACATTTTAGGGACTGATTCTCTTTAGTGAAAGCTAACTGTATTTATTCAGTTTTTGGAGATGTGGACAGCAAGAGAATCCCATGGTTTTCATTCGCATGAATTAGTTCTCACTTGTGAAGAAGTAACACAGACATGTTTCCTGTGTGAACCAAAGCAGTGAATTGTGCATAGCTCACAGTCTTTCTCGTCTATGTGGAAACTAAACAAGGCTGAGGAATATCACCCATAAAGGTGTCCCAAAAGAAGGAAAAGAAGAAAAGAGAAAGGTAGAGAGTCATTCATTTACAGAACTCAAAACACTAAGAGAAATGTGGATATAGCTCAGGAGAACGGTGCTGTCATAGTTTATTGTTCTACTCCATCCTGTACCTCCAGGGAGGGGGGGCCATCACTATTGGACCAGGGCATTTTCCTTGAAGGAGGAAGGAGCTACACTTCATCCCAGCACAGATCCTCAAGCAGTCACTAGCAATTAATCAGAGCTGGCTTTCAAGATGAAACCTGTTTCCCATCCATGTTATTGTAAATTATTTTTTTTCATTTTATAGAGTAAAAACTTGAGAATTTCCAGAAGATACAGCAGATCCAAATAGCAGGCGTATCACCTCAAGTGGGTAGTTTGTCTTCCTAATGATACTCAGATGTGAAAACACCCACAGCATCCAGTCAGGCTCAGTCCAGTGAAGAAAAAACTCTTTACGTTCTATATTCTTGAATAAATTACAAAGTACAGTAGAAGACTTCTTGTCTTAAGTGCTAGGATTGGTAATTCACTGAACTCATTCAGCAAATAAAATAATTAGAACAGAAAATTGTGAAAATGGTGTATCCGTTCTTAATAGCGTATTCAACTTAAATGGGTAAAGTGCTGCTGTTTTGTTGGCTAACCAAGACTTCTTATTCGAGTAAGTACTCACTGCTTGTGATTTCTTACTAAATTTTTTGTTTGTATAAATCTCATATACTGCCTTTGATGTCTAGTTTTATTTTTTAATGGAGGAAAAAGTCAAAGCTATCAGTAAAACCTAAATGCAGAAGCCTTTTAAAATTTTATACTTTTAAAAAATACTTTATATATTTTAATCCACTTGCTTTTATCCACTTCCAAAGTATCCACTAGTTTTTTGTTGGGGAAAAAAAAAATCTCTTTTAACACTTAGGCTTCAGCAAATTATGCAATGTTTAACTAAATGGTGAGGAAATAAGAAGAGCAAATGACATAACCATGTTACATAACAAATACAATTGACCTTTGATAACTATATACAGTTGGTCAGATGGTCAAGGGACACTCCAACACTTTTCCCAATAGCCAAGATGAAAAAATATAAATGTCCACAAATGGATGGGCAGAGAAAGTGTCCATTCAATGAAATAGTATTCAGCCTTAAAAAGGAATAAACTATTGATACATACTACACCATAGATAAACCTTCAAAACATTATGCTAAGTAAAATAAGCCAGTCACAGAAAAAGATACTACATGATTACACCAATATGAGAAATCTATAGTCAAACTCACAGATTCAATGAGAAGAACTGTGGTTGCCAGGGGCCAGGAGGATGGAGAAATGGGGAGTGACTAATCAAAAAGTATAAAATTTCAGTTAAGCAAGAGGAGTAAGCTATAGATAATCATACAGCACTCTATCAATAATATTATACTGTAACTTAAAAATTTGTTAAAAGAGTAGGTTTCATATTAAATGTTCTTACTAAATTAAAATAAAATAGATTGATGAAGAAAATCATGGGAAAATGATCAACCCTATCAGTAATCAGAAAAAATGTAAAATAGAACAGTTAATGCTATTAAACAAAAAAAGGTGCCTACTACTTAAGGAAGTTAACCTACTCTGAAAACTAATTAGTATGTTCCACAAAAGGAAGTTCAATACCTGAGTTAACTCAGGGAGTTGGCTCAAGGGAGATTAAGAGTTTTTCTTGTATTGATTTTAACATGAGATAACTTGCTAATTACTTTCGTATATGACCAATCCCTCTTCTCTACTTCCAAAATTAATTAGGCTAAATTGAGAATATTTTTATTTGCTTAAAAAAAAAGTAGGAAAAGGACAACAAGATGGATGTGAAAGAAAAGAAAAAAAAAGGAAAAGAAGAAAATGTCACAGAGAAAAAATTTTAGTCATGGTTACTTTTAGATTTTTAATTATGCATCATAATCTTAGCAAGTATCGCATTCTTTAGTATTTTTTGTGTTTTTTATGCTATAGTGATTGTGGAATATTCATAATTTAGGATATGTGATTTTTGGAAACGTGCATAATTGAACAAAATAAAATTATATAATTTAATTGTATAAACCTTGGCTACATAAAACATTTATGGTATTTGTTTGCATATTTTCACATTAAAATTCAGCTATTTTCAGGAATACAGATGGACACCACACAGGGAGTCTTTCATTATTGCTTTACCAAGTACTTCTTATGGGTAAAATTCATTAAGGCTACATTAGATTAAAAGCTTAAGTAGTTATTAAGAGAACTATATTAATTTTATGCCTAGGTGATAGAGAAATAATTATCCTTAAATAAATGGGACTTACTAAACCCTACATTCAGCATAAATTTATGAGTACCTTTAAGCTTATTTCTAAAGGTTTAATTGGGAAAAACATCAAAAATTCATGCTAATTCCTAAGACAGTAATTTATAGTAAGTAGCATATATTTGCTAAAGTAGAAATATATTAACTTAATCTAGATCCAAAAATATAGTATATATGATAAACTATGACCTACTGAAAATCTCCCTTAACAGAGGTCACTGTAGTATACGTTCTCTAAGCTGAGCAAAATGTTGCTGTTCTTTAGAGTGTTATCATGGTTTGTGGGCCAAGATGTACCTTCTTAGCCCCAGTTTAGGGCAGTTCATTCCAGAGAGAAAAACACTATTAGTTGTAGATAAAAGGTCAATATTAAAAAGCATAACTAATATTCCTGAAAAATGTTTCTCTCAGAGCAATGGTTTTCTAAACTGACATGTGAAATATTTATTTAAATTTCTTTAGAGCAACATAAGATGAAAACTATATAGTGTTTAAAGAAGACAAGAACTCAGTTCACTATTGACTATCCAAGATAATAGCAGAAACATTTCTATCTTACCTGTAAGACTATTAAGTCTGTTAAATTGTTCTATATTTCATATTTAATTTAACCATTCCTTCACAGCATGTTTTAAAATAGGGAACAGGCTAATAAAAATCAAGGTTATTTTCATAAAAGAATTTTCATAAAAAGGATTTTTATTTTTATTAACAAGTTTTCTATTTTAAATTATGGAAAATAATTTTCACGAAAATAATCTGGAATGTTAGTATCAATATTAAAACATTTCATTTTAAAGTTAGAGTTAATAAACTTTTTCCTGTAATCTGATTTCTTTGAGGTTAATTTTCATTACCAAAAATACCACATTAACCCCAAAAGCACATTAGTAGTTTCTCTTGTTTCCATATTCTACCTTTTCAAGTATGAAGATTAAATAAATGTGATCCCGGGGCACCTGGGTGGCTCAGTGGGTTAAGCCTCTGCCTTCGGCTCTAGGTCATGATCTCAGGGTTCTGGGATCCAGCCCCGAATCGGGCTCTCTGCTCGGCGGGGAGCCTGCTTCCTCCTCTCTCTCTCTCTGCCTGCCTTTCTGCCTACTGTGATCTCTATCTGTCAAATAAATAAATAAAGTCTTAAAAAATTTAAAATAAATAAAAAAATAAATAAGTGTGATCCCTAAAAGTTAGATGAAGAA